GCACGGCATCACCCTTCGTGCTTAACACTCTTCCTCACCCAAGCAACAATCACAAAGCAATTTGGGCAAGGGAATTCAATAACATCACAATAAAATCTCGGCAAGGGAACAATAGCATAACAACAATATCCCGACAAGGGAAACAATATCATGAGTAATAACATCCCGGCAAGGGAGATAATATCAAAAGCAATAACATCCCGGCAAGGGAGACAATATCATAAACCTCCTCTCTTTTCCACAATTACTTCACAACTCAATTCTCAACTTGAGCCAACGCTCTACAATGTTCAGTTACCATTAACACTTCCACAAGCCTTGTTCAACAATAGAAATAATCGTATAAAGTATGAACAATACGAAACGGAGTCACATTAATCATAGTATAAGACTCACGGGCATGCTTGACATCGACGTATAGATACTCATCACCATGCCTATACATCGTACTCAACAATTAACTCAAAGAAAATAAGACACAACTCCTAATCCCTCAAGCTAAGGTTAGACCAAATACTTACCTCAATGCCACGAACACAATCCAAGCCTCAACTACCGCTTTACCTCTTGTTTCCACCACCAATTCGCTTGTATCTAGCCACAATTTACTTAACGATATCAATGAATGGTAAATGAATCAATTCTAATGCATGAAAATAGGTTTTCTAAAGTTTTTCCCAAAAAGTCAAAAATCGACCCCGGGCCCACATGGTCAAAACTCGAGGTTCGAACCAAAACCCGATTACTCATTCACCCACGAACCTAAATCCCCAAAATTTGAAAATCCTAAGTTCTACCCAAAACACCCAATTTCCCCATGAAAACCCTTGATTTTGAGTTGAAATCATGTGAAAAGATGTTATATATTAAAGAAAATGAGTTAGAAATGACTTACAATTGATTTGGAGAAGAACTTTTCTTTAGAAAATCGCCCAAGAGTGTTTAGGTTTTGAGAAGGTTTGAAAATGAAGAAAAATCTGCCTAAGTCCCAATTAACTGATCGCAGATGTCGCAATTGCGATAGGAGCTTCGCAATTGCAAAGCTCGCAAATGCAAACGAGGCCTCGCATTTGCGAACCTGGGCATTTTCTGCTAACCTCGCAATTGCGAACAAATAGTCGCAATTGTGATACTGGGCATTTTCTGATGACTTTGCATTTGCGAAGGGTGGTTCGCAATTGCGAACACTGGCAGGCAAGGCTTTCTTCGCAAATGCGATCAAGCCCTCGCAATTGCCAAGCCTGTTGGGCTCGCAATTGCGAAGCCTGACCTCGCAATTGCGAGATCAGAGCATGCAACACAGCTGAACCTGTAACAGCCATTTCCCTAAGTCCAAATTCACTCCATCAGTTGATGATTAGGACATCCGATGACCCTAAGACAGCTTTCCGCACTTGGTACGGGCATTATGAGCTCTTGGTGATGTCATTCGGATTGACAAATGCCCCAGCAGCTTTTATGGATTTGATGAACCGAGTGTTCAAGCCTTATTTGGATTCATTTGTGATAGTCTTCATTGATGATATTTTGATCTATTCCCGCAGCCGGGAGGAGCATGAGCAGCATCTGAGAGTTGTTCTTCAAACTTTGAGAGATAGTCAGTTGTATGCTAAGTTTTCGAAGTGTGAGTTCTGGTTGAGTTCAGTTGCATTCTTGGGTCACATTGTTTCAGCAGAGGGTATTCAGGTGGATCCGAAGAAGATAGAGGCAGTCAAGAACTGGCCTAGACCCGCGTCAGCTACAGAGATCTGGATTTTCTTAGGTTTGGCAGGCTATTACCGTCGGTTTGTGGAGGGGTTTTCATCTATTGCAGCCCCGATGACCAGGTTGACCCAGAAGGGTGCCCAGTTCAGGTGGTCGGACGAGTGTGAGGCGAGCTTTCAGAAGCTCAAGACAGCTTTGACTACAGCGCCAATGTTGGTGTTGCCCACAGGTTCAGGGCCATATACATTTTATTGTGACGCATCTCGTATTGAACTTGGTGCGGTGTTGATGCAGGATGGCAAGGTCATTGCTTATTCTTCGCGACAGTTGAAGATTCATGAGAAGAATTATCCAGTTCATGATTTGGAGCTAGTAGCCATTGTTCACGCGCTGAAGTTTTGGAGGCACTATTTGTATGGCATGTCATGTGAGGTGTTCACGGATCACAAGAATCTGTAGTATTTGTTCAAGCAGAAGGAACTAAATTTGAGGTAGAGGAGGTGGTTGGAGCTGTTGAAAGACTATGATATCACCATCTTATATCATCCGGGGAAGGCCAATATGGTGGCCGATGCTTTGAGTAGAAAGTCAGCCAGTATGGGTAGTCTTGCGTATATTTCGGTCAGTGGGAGACCAGTTTCTTTGGATGTTCAGGCTTTGGACAATCAGTTCGTGAGGTTGGATGTCTCTGAGCCCAGCCGTGTGTTAGCTTGCACAGTCGCTGGTTCTTCATTATTTGAGCGTATCCGAGATCGGCAGTATGATGATCCTCATTTGTGTGTCCTTAGAGATACAGTGCGGCACGGAGGTGCCAAGCAGGTTACAGTTGGAGATGATGGAGTCTTGAGGATGCAGGGTCGTATTTGTGTGCCTAATGAAATATAATGAAAGATTGAAAGAAAATAGGCTAGAATCACTTACCAATGGATTGGGGAAGAAGGCTCTTGGAAAAATCGTCTCTAGGGTTTTCTTGTTTTGAAAATTTGAAGAATGATGAAAATCCCATTTTTCAGCTATTTGTCCAGTCGCAGATGTCGCATTAGCGACCTAGGGTTCGCAATGTGAACCCCGCAAATGCGTAGAAATAGTCGCAATTGCGAAGTCTCCCCATTTCTGTTGTCATCGCAATTGCGAACAGTGGGCCATCCGCAAATGCGACCAAAATGATCGCAAATGCGAAGAAGCTCTTCCCAGCCCCACTTCACAAATGCGAAGTCTTGCTCGCAAATGCGAACTTGAGGTGCCCCAGCTACTCTTCGCAAATGCGAGGAGTTGCTCGCAAATGCGAACCTAACAGAGGTCGCAAATGCGAAGCCTGACCTCGCAATTGCGAGGTCTGAGGCCTGTACCAGAATTGAAACACACCAGCACATTCCTAAGTCCAAAACTCACTTCGTAGCCTATCAAACATGCACAAGTCCAAAAACATCATACGAACTTGCTCACGCGATCAAATCACCAATATAACACTTAAAACTACGAATTGAACACCAAATCAAAAGAAATTTTCAAGAAAACTCATGAACTTCTATTTTGACAACTGGACGTCCGAATCACGTCAAACCAACTCCGTTTCTCATTAAATTTGACAGACAAGTCATAAATATAGTAATAGACCTATACCGGGTTCCGGAACCAAAATACGGACCCGATATCAATAAAGTCAAACATTGGTCAAACCTTTAGATTCTTAAGCCTTTAAACTTTCAAATTTCAACAAAATGCGATAACTCGAGCTAGGGACCTCCGAACTCGATTCCGGGCATATGCCCAAGTCGCAAATCACGATACGAACCCACCAGGACCGTCAAAATATGGATCCAGTTCCATTTGCTCAAAACGTTGACCGAAGTCAACTCAAATGGCTTTTAAGGCAAGAATTTCATATTTATTAGTTTTTAACACAAAAGCTTTCCGAAAAAATACCTAGACTGCGCACGTAAATCGAGAAAGGCTAAAATGAGGTATTTGAGGCTTTGAAACACGGAATTAGGTTCTAGAACTCTAGATGACCTATCGGGTCATCACATCGTGATCTCAAGGTCCTTGACCAGAAGCCTATGAAGGGTCGAGAGGTTCTCACTCGGGATGACCTTGTAATCCGTGCAAAGACCTCTATCGGACTTCCTGCAGAGTAAATAATCAATCTGAGTCTCGGCCACCGAACTCCGAAAGATTACCAAGTCCTCCCTCTTCTTCAGAAAACTCGAGTTTGCTATCACCAAATCAAATGCTCTAGCAAAGTCCAACAGAGACGTTCCTCCTCCGTTCCTATCTCGGTTAATTATATGTGGCATAAATATAGATACTACCCTAACTATTAACCCGTAATGAGTGCACACATCCATTGCCATCCTACCATAGTTTAAAGTATATATGAATTTACTCAATCAGGTCACGTAAAATATAATTACAGGACGTCGTCCGTAAAAAGTGAAATCAAACCCGTTAAAAATACAAGTTATTTGTTATAACATGTTCAAATATACTGAAATTACAAATATTCTTTATTATACTATTTTTGCATTCATATCAAGATTTATTTGGATTTCCTATTATTTGAAAGTAAAAAAAGGACCAAAAGAATTGATGAAACGGACAAAATTTACCGAAAGATTTAGGTGACAATTAATGTAATCTTAGCTACAAATTATGGCAATCACCAGATAATATGTATCTCGCCCGTTTCGACATTCATAACAATATGCAAGGGTAAACAATAGAACAATTGTATTTGCTACTTGGACTTGTTTGAATTCAGTATTTTTCCACGAAATATAGATATATACGCTCTTCGTTGGGAATCATATTTTTTTTAATCTGTTAAAAAAAATCAGATTTCTAGAGTTGAAAATAATTTTACTTAACTTCTCATTTTACTCTTTAAGACCAAAATTTTATAGTCGTACAAATATTTGGCATGTTTGTTAAATTACAAGTTTTGAAAATTTTATACCTACACAAATATTATGATATGTCTGAAATTAAACTACAAGTTTTTAAAGTTTTTCTTTCTTTCATAAACGTACTTAGTCAAATTATGCTATATAAATTGAAAGAAAGAGACATACAACAATAACAATAATAAACCCAGTGAATTCTCACAAGTGGAGTTTAGGGAGGGTGAGATGTACACATCCTTACCCCTACCCTGGGAGGTAAAAAGGTTATTTTCGAAAGACTCTCAGCTAAAGAAAAGATAAAAAGAAGTAATGGCAATAAGTATTATCAACAAAAAAAAAAAAGATAACTGAATCCAATGTAGCAATTAAACGACAGTAATAGCAATTTAAGAATAAAGGAACAATAAACTAACACTAATGTTATCGAATTGAGGAAGACAAAGGAAAAGGAAAAGACATACAACTAATAAATTTCAAAATTTGAATTCATAATTTCAAAAGTAAGACAAATTCTTACTAAAAAATTTTAAACTTGACTTCATCAAAATTTAAATCTTAGATGCGCATCTGTTTTGTTCTGCCCGGGGACCTAATCATAACCTGGCATATTTCTTGAGATTCACAGCAGCATCTTTGACATTTTCTGGTACAACCATATTAGTCTTGACAGTAACTCTAGATGATGAAATCAAAATTCTATCTCCCAATTTCGAAGAATTATCACTTTTCCATAATTTCACTTCCCAAACATGAATAGATTTTCCAATATTAAGAGGTGTAGCTTCAACAAAAACAATTTCACCAAGATGAGCACTCTTGAGATGGTGAATACTTAAGTGAACTCCGGCCACTCTTTGGAATCCGGACGCCATATGGGCGCTCATGCTCGCTAGAGATTCAGCAATTAATGCTGAAACTCCGCCATGCAACACCTTGAACGGATTGCAGCATTTTTCGGACACCAAAAACTGGCCTGTGATTTTTTGAGAGGAGATTTCTGAGATCTTAAAGCCAATTTCATGAAGTGGAGCATCTAAAATCTCATTATTTGATGGTTCCATTTTTTTACCTTCCCTTTAATTTTCTCTTGAGTTTTTGATAAATGAATTCATATATAAAGAAGTTTGTTTATGGATTTTTGGAGTTTTTCTACTTTTGTAGAAAAGGATAAAAAAAATCTGATTCTACAAATAAAGATGTATGATGATAATGATGATGCAATTCTGTTTGGCTTGGTGGTTGGTCACTTTTTAGGTGATGTATTTGAAGAGTCTAAAAGTGGAATAACATTAACTTATAAAATCAGTGCAATAAAAACAATTATATCATGTCATTTATTTCTTTTACTAAGTTGTCAATACATATTCAATAATCTCAAGATTCAAATTATGTGAACCTTAATTAATATTTTAAATATATCTTTTTATCATCTTAAAATCAGGAAATTGTAATTTTATAGTATTTTTTGTATAATTTTTATATATTCAAATTTTAGTATTACTAAATTATTTTTAGCTGTTGCAGTAAGTAACATATTTTATTTTTAAGATTACAAATCTCATATTTTAAAAAGATTTATCTGTAAATATTCTTTGGGTGACACGATAGTAAAAATTATGTACAGATGATGTATACAACTCAAACTCTTAAGGGGTCGTTTGGTATGAGGTATAAGAAGGTGTAGAGCCCGTTTGGATGAGCTTATTTTAAGTGACTTTTAAGCCAAAATAGCTTTTAAGCCATAAGTTAGGAATTCTAGCTTTTGCTTTTGGTTGTTTTTGTCATTTTAGCTTAAAAATAGGTGCTTAAAAATATTTTTACTCTATCCAAACACTACGAAATGGGTTAAAAGTTATTTTGGCTTAAAAGCACTTAAAATAAGCGAATCCAAACGGGCTCATAGTGCTGGTACAAAAAAATTAGGGAAATTACCAGCTATGTTCATTTACAAGTAGCTCATTACAAAAATTGGCCAATTGATAAAATATTACTAATATTAGCCAATTTAGCCAATTAGCTATTTGTAGCAAAAAAATATCAAATTTTGCTTTGTTTTGAGTGGGTGTTATTAGAATAGATTGGGCACAACTTAAGGAGCTTGAATCTCAGTTTTGGGATGATTTGGTGAAGTTTTCAGGTGTTTTGAATTGAAAATTCGAAGTAAAAGCTGAACATGAAAAAAATGAGATGTGTATCACACTATGTATCATTTGTGTATCACACATGTATCATATTTGTATCAATTATGTATCACATGTATATCCATGTATATCTGTGTGTGAAATACATGCGTGATATATGTTTGATACATGTGTCGCGGAAGACTTTTTTGAACTCGATTTAATTAAGTCTATGACTAATGGCTAGAGGTTGGTAAGTTGAGATTTATTTGGGACATTTGTGTAAGTTTCCCAAAAAATAATACCATCTTAATACTTTGTTTGGTTAGCAAACCTAGTATAAGTTATTCCGGAATTAAAATTAGTACCGGGATAACTTATACCTTGTAGAGGGTGGGGTAATTAGTGCCGGAATAACTTATACCTTCTTCTTAAAAATTATGCAATTGTCATTTTTAATACAACATACGTGAATAAAAAATAATCCCAGCATAACTAATCCCAACATAACTTATCTCGGCATAAGCTGTATTCAAACCGAACGACCCCTTAAGTGTAATAGAGCACTTGTTTCACATAATATAATCATGAGAATACGTGCCAGCTATTTTCGGATACTTCCTATAAACAGTTCCTACACTATCAAACATTTAATATATTCCTAGGAGATTTTGAATTTAAAATTTCTCAACACATTACAAATTTAATTAGTTTCTCCTTTAATAGGCTTTAGGTACAAATCCGATCAGTCGATCAATACGAGTTTCGGATATCGAATAATTAAACTAAAGGAAAATAGGAAAAAAAAATTGAACCACTTAATCTAACGAAAGAACAAACATGTAGTTGTATTTTGAGATTTCCTTGCATTTTGGTGCAAATAGCATGTGCTAGCCACTTTTCGGACTAGTAATTGAAAATAGTCAGCATTTGCAAAGTTAGCGAAAAATAGTCACTATTTTATACGGAGATAAAATCTAGATAAAAATACCCTAGCTGAAACACAGAAAGTTCTAGCATAACATGCGGATTATGGAGATCCTGCGTATAAACTTCCAGCATATTATATTGGAACTCTAGCACATTATTGTATTGGAGAAAATGAATATTACACGTGGAATTAATTATGTGGCTGACATGGCAAGACACGTGGATCACTAGAAAAGCGACAGTTGGAGAAGAGCATGAAAAAAGACGTGAGTCTTAATAGATACGATCAAAACACCCACAAGATGAGAAGAAACAGTTGCTCGAGTTTCTTTAGCGATTTGAAGAGGCACCGGAAGAATGAACCAAGACAATAAAAAGGGCAGATTCATTGGCCTTCAATTAATGAGCATGGATGATTACAAACATTACAAAATCTTCACGAAACAGTTACGATTACCAATTATAACGTTTCATTAATGTCATTAATGCTCATAATGACTCAGTCATAAAATGGAAAAGACGTTGTACTTGGAGATCACTATATAAGGGAAAGAAATGTCATTTGTATGGACACGTTCTGATTATTATTGGAAGATAATTACTTTCTTTTGCTTGATTACTTTGCTATTTCAAATTCTAATTTCCTTTCTTATTACGAGAATATTGATTCTTTTGATTATCAGTAGCCCGAGTATTTCTAAAAATAGGCTTTGATCGAAATTTCTATTTTTTGGTCGAACAAATTGGTTCCATCACCAGGAATCTGATAATGTATTCACTTTCCAAATTCATCAAAAAAAAAAAAATCATGTCGGCTGCTAACGGCAACAACCAACAAAATCAGCAACACCAGTTGAACCAACAAAATCAACAAGAGGATGGAACTCCAGTCTCTTCACCACGAAACTCTCCTCGAGAGTCCCGAGAAGGGTCACCTGACAGATAGATATCACATGCGAATGACCAACATGGGGATGATCAAGCTATTGATGAAGCATTGAAGCAATTAATCGCCGAACAGGACAACAATGCTCTTCAAGATTTTGTTAGTGGGTTGCCAACTATACCACCAACTCCACCTCCGAATAACACCGCAACCATATCCGCGCTCGGGACTTAGGGAATTCTCACAAGTGGGCTCTGGGGAGGGTAAGATGTACGCAGCCTTACCCCTGCCTTGGAGGACAGAGAGGCTATTTCCGAAAAACCCTCGCCTAAAAAAAATATAAAAAGAAATAATGGCAACAAGTATTAACAACAGCAAGATAAAAAGAGGACCCAAGCCGAGGTAGCAATTAAATGGTAGTAATAGCAATCTAAGAATAAAGGGACAATAAACTAACACTAATGCTATCGAAGTGAAGAAGAGAAAGGGAAAAGGAAAAGACATACAACTAATAAAAAAGATTAATAAATTTCAAATTTTGAATTCATAATATCAAAAGTAAGACAAATTCTTACTAAAAATGTTTAAACTTAATTTCTTCAAATTTAAATATTAAATTCGCCTCTGTTTTATTCTGCCCCGAGACCTAATCATAACCTGGCATATTTCTTGAGATTCATAGCAGCATCTTTGACATTTTCTGGTACAACCATATTAGTCTTGATAGTAACCCTTGAAGATGAAATCAAAATTCTATCCTCTCCCAATTTTGAAGAATTATCATTTTTCCATAATTTCACTTCCCAAACATGAATAGATTTTCCAATATTAAGAGGTGTAGCTTCAGCATAAACAATTTCACCAAGATGAGCACTCTTGAGATGATGAATACTTAAGTGAACTCCAGCCACTCTTTGAAATTCGGACGCCACTTGGGCGCCCATGCTTGCCAGAGCTTCAGCAATTAATGCTGAAACTCCGCCGTGCAATACCTCGAAAGGGTTGCAGCATTTTCCGGTTACCGGAAAATGGCCTGTGATTTTATGAGAGGAGATTTCTGAGATCTTAAAGCCAACTTCATGAAGTGGAGCATCTAAAATCTCATTCTTTGATGGTTCCATTTTTTTTCTCCTTACCTTTGATTTTCTCTTGAGTTCTTGATTTATGAATTTATATATATAGAAGTTTGTTTATTGATTTGGAGTTTTTCTACTTTTGTAGAAAAGGATAAAACTATCTGATTCTACAAATAAAGATGTGTGATGATAATGATGATGCAATTGTGTTTGGCTAGGTGGTTGGTCACTTTTTAGGTGATGTATTTGAAGAGTCTAAAAATGGAATAACATTAACTTATAAAATCAGTGCAATAAAAGCATTTATATTATGTCATTTATTTCTTTTATTAAGTTGTCTATTCATATTTAATAATCTCAAAATTCAAATTATATGAACTTTGATTAATATTTTAATATATTTTTTAATCATCTTAACATTAAAAGAATTGGATTTTATTGTATTTTTCGTATAATTTTTTAATTCAAATTTTAGTACTACTAAATCATTTTTACCTGTTGCAGTAACTAACAAGATTACAAATCTCATATTTCAAGAAGGCTTACCTGTAGATATCCTTTGGGTGACCGGATAGTAAAAATTATTTACAAACGATGTATACAACTTAAACTCAAAAGTGTAATAGAGCACTTGTTTCACATAATCTAATCTTGAGAATCCATGCCAGCTATTTTCGGATAATTCCTCTAATTAATTCTTACACTATTAAACATTTAATAAATTTTGTTGAATTGAAAATGTGACCTTGGAAGCAGTTTCTTCTTAATATGCTTTAACACATTACAAATGTAATAAGTTTCTCTTTTAATAGGCTTTACATGGTACAAACCCAATTAGTCGATCAACAGAGTTTCGGGCATCGAATAATTAAACTAAAGGAAAAAAGGAAAAGAAAAAATTGAGCCACTTAATCTAAAGAAAGAACAAACATGTATTTGTATTTTGAGATTTCCTTTCATTTTGGTGAAAATAGCACGGCCTAGCCGCTTTTCAAACTGGTAATTGAAAAATAGCCAGTATTTGCAAAGTCATCGAAAAATAGTCACTATTTTATACAGAAATAAAATATTGACAAAAATACCCAAGCTGAGACTTTCATATGGAGCTCCTGCATGTAAACTTCCAGCATATTATATTGGAACTCCAGCACATTATGAAATTCTAGCACATTATGTTGGAATCTCATGAAAAATTCAAACTCAAGCCTATTATGCTGGAATTTTTTCGGATTTTAAGGGTGTTTTTGTTAAGATTTTAATTTTACATGAAAAAGTGACTAAATTTCAATTACTTTCAAAATTGTTGCTAATTTTCAATTAGTAGTTGCAAATCATGCTATTTCTGATTTTTTCCATTCATTTTGTTCCTTTGATATCTTTAAAATTTGCACCAATGTTGTCACTCAGTAACTTAATTTTTTTAATTTTCCACCCAATGTTGCTTACATATTAAGACACCATAAGTACAGCTTTTACCATAAATCATGCATTTTTTCAGCATGTAACTGATGCATAGACAACAACAACAACAACAACAAAAGATTCAGTAAAATCCCACAAGTGGGGTCTGGAGAAGGTAATGTGTATGCAGACTTTACCCCTACCTTATGAAGGTAGAGAAATCGCTGAATAGACACGATACAATATCTCACTTTCACATTTACGAAAAGATTAACTTGAATTTTTTAGGTAAAAAAATATTTTAAGATAAATCTGCTTCTTAACAAGGAGGTAATCTGGCAATAGGCAACCCACCATTTTCTAACAACAACGCCTCAGTCCCAAACAAGTTGGGGTCGGCTACATGAGTCCTTACTCCTATTTTAAGGTCAACTCATATCGACGACAGAAAATTAAGTGTTACTGTTACAAAAATTCTATAAAAATGAATATGTAGTACTAGTACATAGACTACATCTACTGTGCATTTGATGCAGGATTGCTATAATAATGTTACAAACAAAATAATTAAGAATCAAAGAATGGATAGAAAAATCCATATCAAGATTGGAAGGAAGTGGAAAAAGAAGCAGAACACTAACAGAGTACCTATTCAGATTTCTTGTCCGTCTTTGTCGACAACTTCCTCTTCATTCTGCTAAAAGGGCCAACCGTCCGGTCCATTATATACATGTAGATAACCTGGCTCCAAGATTTGTAAGATTCTAAGTTTTCGTAGTATTCTGGTGCAATCTCCTTCACCTTGTAGAGCTTGCTTCCAGGAATCCTCGGGAAATCATGGTGCTCGTTGTGGTAACCTACGCTCCATGTCATAAGATTAAGTGGACCGTAGTAGGAGTATGTCTCTTGCTCGGGCTTGAAAACATAATGCTCGGAGATGAAATGACCGGCCATTGGGTGCATTCCGCCACCAACAAAAGTCGACAAGATCAAATAAGTGAAAGATTTCCAACCCCAGAAGTATACCATAACTCCATCGAGGGATAGTTGGATTATCAAATTGGTGAACTCCCACATGCCGGGCGGTTTAGGTTTGAGAAAAAGTGGCCTGAGAGCGTAAAAGAAGAGTTGGAGAATCACCCATATTGATTTCGCTATGACATTTTTGACAACATGGGCTTCAGCAAGACTCGGGATATCCATATCGATTCCATCGACTCCTTGGAAACGGTGGTGCTCGAGGTGATATTTTTGGAAGGTAACGGACATGGGAACGCCAATGGGAAGGTTGGCAAAAATCCCAAGCCAACGGTTGTAAACTGGAGTAGAGAAAGCGAGGTTGTGACTAAGCTCGTGAATGGCCAGGAAGAGATTGTGGTTAAGGAAAGAGCCAAAAAAGTAGGCAACCATCAATATCTTCAGCCAACTTGCATCACGGAGGAAGGTAGCTGTCCAAAGTTGAAGCAAAACAACCATCGATATCTGCAATGCGAAATTTGAAAATCGATTAACAAACAAGAGAAAATTTTGGTGGATGGTAAAATCTAATTACTCACGAAAAAACACATGCCTTAAGGCTTGCTAAAATTAGGGAAAGATTAACAAGACAATACCAAAGGATTCATAGCATTTCGTGCAGGAGGTTTTGTTGTCACCATAAGTTAAGCAGTTCACAAAGACATCAGCGATAAATCATAGCATTCCAACAGAAAATTGGTAAGAAAACATGCTTCTATCCAATCTGAATGCCGTGAAGAGACACAAAATTCGTCAGAAAGTTATCAGTTCTCTTTGTACATAGTCTGTTTTTAAGGCTGTGTTCAAGAAAATCCTAATTAGTTTATATCAACCTTTAAAATCTTTGAATCAGTTTGACATGAGAGTAGGAGAAGCCTAGTGCGTTCTTTTACAGTTATTCTTTTTTTTTTATTTCATAATAACGGTGGTGTCCGAGCCAAATTGCACGCACCTCAACTATTTCACCGGATAGCTACTACCTCCCACCAACACAAGTAGCATGCTGCATCTAGACTTCAAATAGTTTGCTTTAACCATGTTAATACTTCCACATAATTGGTTAATAGAGAATCAAATACGATTTACCAATGAATCGCAAAATGCTATGGTTCTTACATATAATTTCTGAATTTATTCAGAAGTAATATCATGCACCTTTCCTAGTTATAACAGAAAAGGGTACAGCTGGTTGGTATCGAGTAACTTTTCACACTAAAGCTTAGTTAGATGGGAACAAATCAGCTAGCGTCTCTTGTCTCTGCTAGGATTTGAACCCTTGTCTACAAGGTTTTCACCCACTGTCGAGGGTGATGAGGGGGGCAATTCCTTACTCCAGCTTCAAAGGAGCATCTTTGCATGAATCACTCAATCCCTTACTGGATAGAGCAAGCTTGGAGCACTGGGTCAGGGCGGATGGATGAACCTTTACAGTTTTATACGCAAAAAAGAAAAAACCTCCACCTTACGCAGCAGAGCTGCGGGAACCACTGGATTCATCTTTCGAAAATCCAAAGGTTCCTAAAGCTCTGTCACGGAAGGGGGTGGCTTTTTTGCCGAAAAGAAAGCCATCCGTCCCAAGCCGGCACTCTAATCTTGCTCTGTCGGGTAAGGGGTTGAACAAGAGTGAAAAAAAAAGGAAGCAGGACTCTTAGATGCATCCTTTCACTATTAGATTCATTGTTTTCATTATCACATTGCATCTACAGTGTGAATAAATACATGAATAACCTAACCATTCACTTGTCCAGAACAATGAAACTGACACCACAAATCCATGGAACAAGACATTATGCATGTGGCAAACCACCTGAATCTAAATGCAAGCTTTTCCTTACCATCTAAAATGTCTGTAAAAGGCAAAAGTTGATACCTTTTTCAAGAAAATGAAGAAAAAAAAAAGGATTTTCAATCACTTTTACAGCAAAGCTAAAAGATTCAAATCCTACCCTATTTCACAGTTAAATAATCTGGTTCAAATTGCATATTTAACCACTAAAAGTCTGAAAGGATTCCAATATATAGAAACATTCTACATTGCCAAATCTTATCAACAACAGATTCTTGAAAACACAATGATTATACACAGAGCAAGCCAATATAATAAAAACCAAAATGACCACAAAGATTCAAACTTTTGGAACCATTGTTTATAACCCAGATCCAAAATGACCAATTAAGCAAAACCATTAATATAACAAAATCATATCAGCATTTTTTTGGAAAAATACATAAGAAGGGAACAAAAGTTTGTATATTTATGAAAGAGGGATAATACCTTGAGAAAAGCAAAAGGGTCAGGGCCAAAAAGCTGTTTGATTTGAGGGTACTGAGAGAGGATTTGTCTTCTACGAGAAGCATGAGGTTCATCTGTGTATGACCAAAAGAAATCATTAGCCATTACTACACCTTCTTCTTCCTCTCTCATTTTCCCCTCAAATCCCATTTTTTGCTTCTCTTTTTCTTCTCTCTGTTTCTCTGTTATGGATATTTAGATTTTCTTCATTCTGTTCTAGTATAGTTTAATACTAGCTAAATTTGCGCTTTGTTTTAGATTTTTTTAAAATAATAAAACAAGATGTAGTTTCAATAAAATAATGATATTTTGGGTGGGACCTACAAAAGAAAACGAACATATGGATTATGGACTGTCTGTCTAAAGTTGTTTGACGCTCGTGGGAAGG